AGAATGGATCTCGTGAAAATGCATGCAGAAAGACTGCATACAGATCAACACTCTCAACTATCTTAACGACATAGTTTCTAAAATACCGAGAGACCACATCCACGGACCTGTGCATAACGAGGTCAAGGTAAATCTTTTCGGCTGTTGCAAAATATTGACAATTTTTAAAAGGTAAAATCAAACTCAGTCTTGAATATATTGTGTATTCCTCATTGCCTAATGTAAAGACTACATATTAATACTATGGATAGTTCAATGTATAGTTTAAACATGTTTTCTTCAAGTAATCATGACGGGATTGGCAAACAAACATAAACATGCATGTCAATGCCGCTCCATAACAATAATACAATTACATAGATAGTGATGTACACTGTCTGCAAAACATAATGTGTGCAAATCATAATGGCAATCCACAAGGGCAATATTAAAAATATTGCATGCAACTTACTCTCTGGTGTCCTCCGATCAGTTAGACGTCCCAGACACGTCAAATCAACATAAGTTATGGTTGGTTGCACGCAGGTACACTGCACTGTTACCTTTAACAAAGTTATGTGCTTAAGAATATATTAAGCCATATAATTAATAGGGCTGTAATGATGCATCAAACTATCGATGAATTGCAATTATTCCGAAAGCAATTAATCGATGTTGGAGAAATGAAAAATTATCGATCCATCAATAGAATGTGTGACTATCGATAGCTTAGTGATGGTTATTTATTCTTATTAAATATTTGTGTTGTTTTGATTTTTTTTATTGTTAAGGTGCAAACCTGCAGCTTCATTGAGTTTATGTTTTAACTGTTTACTCCATCTTGGTTTCAAGTTTCTTGTCAGTTATTCATAGGGGGAGCAGAGGAAGCCCAACAGCCATTCGTATCCACCATTGTACCGCTGGGAGTAGTAACTCAATTAGTTACATGGGAAATCTATAATCCTGTTTTGATCAAAGTGAACATTATGAACACAAACTGTGAGAAGCCGAAGTCAATTAATATTAGTATTCTGATCAAAGTATTTCTGCACAAAAGTAACAAACTCATAATTAGTGTTAAAATATACCACTAACCACTAATATGAAAACATCTCGTTAGTCTATGGGACGGGTCTATTACGCCACTGGGTAAAACTAGGTTTGTAATCACAGTCACGCCTGATTGATCCAAAGTTGTCTGATAATTGGCGTGTCTGACAAATGGGATGTCTAACTTATGAGAGCAAAAGCATACATGGAATTTGAGACCCCTTCTTCATCTCGGTTAAATGTGTGTTTAGCAATAAGAAATCCTAAATAAAAAACCCAACTTGCTTATATATACAGGATGTACAGGAGGACTGCAACAGTCACAATGGATTGACATGAGAGTGACGATGAGAGCTATCGGGATAGGTTTGTATGTTGAGGTACACTATCTTCTTATAAGTTTTCATTACTATCAATGCATCCCACTAATATATGATAACATTCATGATAACAGCACTCCGTGTCCAGCTCGTTAAACGACACAATAAAAATACAATTAATATAATAGACTCACTCCCTTAAACCTCGGGCGAAGAATAGCCGTGACGGGCAGACGGGAATTACAAAATAATTGATCACAAAATATTAAAACGAAACGTGCGAACCTGGGTAGGTACACCTCGCAAGTGTGGGGTTGCCCACGATAGAAGTTATTCAACAATGAATACTATGACGACATACCGAGTGTCACGTAGAATAAAAAACACAGTTTTGATGCTTTTTGTTTCCTTTGTGAGGAGGTTTGACAAGGCCCTTCGCTCCCGAGTGGTGACGTGTGACGTCCTGGGCAGGAAGTGACAGTGTATTGACTTCTCTCCTTTATTACCCAGTTGGGGCTCCCTAATTGACCTTTATTTGTTCTGAAGCAGCATGGACTATTTATTTTATTTGGAAGTGGTTATTGGCAAATGTCAATAGGATTGACAAGACATATTTCAATGCAGTTACATTTTTAAGCTCTCACAATACTGTTTATGTTCCAAGAATTACAAATTAACAGTAATATTTCATATTCAACAATTTCTTAATTTTGACTGTTCTGACGTGTATGTTTTGATATTATCCGTTCGTACACGCATACCATTGACGAGCCACATTTCATGGCATTACTTCTAATGTTTTAAGTGCCTAGTGACTACATATGATGAGGTAGGTGAGAGCTAAAGTAATAATTAATATGTTTATAATTAGGGATAAACCACCATACCCCCAAAACATGGAAAGCATATATTTTGAGTAAAAGTAATTATTCTCGCCAATGGGCCAACCTATTTTTCGCCCATGGGCGAGATTTTTTAATATCGTTCTAAGTTAGTCGAATTAAGCCAATGTGAGTTGAATTTTGTTTCATGATACTTATAAACATACATTCATTCATTCATTTACAACTTCCAAAACATGGAAAATCATGTATTTTGAGTAAAAGTCAATATTCTCGCCCATGGGCCAAACTGTTTTTCGCCCATGGGCGAGATTTTTTAATATCGCTTTAAATTAGTCGAATTAAGTCAAAATGAGTTGAAATTTGTGTCATGATGCTTACAAACATACACTCATTCATTTACAACCTCCAAAACATGGAAAAACACATATTTTGAATAAAAGTCATTATTCTCGCCCATGGGCCAAACTGTTTTTCGCCCATGGGCGAGATTTTTTGATATCGCTCTAAGTTAGTCAAATTAAGTCAATATGAGTTGAATTTTGTTTCATGATACTTATAAACATACATTCATTCATTTGCAACTTCCAAAACATGGAAAAACATATATTTTGAGTAAAAGTCAATATTCTCGCCCATGGGCCAAAATGTGTTTCGCCCATGGGCGAGATTTTTTAATATCGCTCTAAATTAGTCGAATTAAGTCAAAATGAGTTGAAATTTGTGTCATGATGCTTACAAACATACACTCATTCATTTACAACCTCCAAAACATGGAAAAACATATATTTTGAGTAAAAGTCAATATTCTCGCCCATGGGCCAAAATGTGTTTCGCCCATGGGCGAGATTTTTTAATATCGCTCTAAATTAGTCGAATTAAGTCAAAATGAGTTGAAATTTGTGTCATGATGCTTACAAACATACACTCATTCATTTACAACCTCCAAAACATGGAAAAACACATATTTTGAATAAAAGTCATTATTCTCGCCCATGGGCCAAACTGTTTTTCGCCCATGGGCGAGATTTTTTAATATCGCTCTAAGTTAGTCGAATTAAGTCAATATGAGTTGAATTTTGTTTCATGATACTTATAAACATACATTCATTCATTTGCAACTTCCAAAACATGGAAAAACATATATTTTGAGTAAAAGTCAATATTCTCGCCCATGGGCCAAAATGTGTTTAGCCCATGGGCGAGATTTTTTAATATCGCTCTAAATTAGTCGAATTAAGTCAAAATGAGTTGAAATTTGTGTCATGATGCTTACAAACATACACTCATTCATTTACAACCTCCAAAACATGGAAAAACATATATTTTGAGTAAAAGTCAATATTCTCGCCCATGGGCCAAAATGTGTTTCGCCCATGGGCGAGATTTTTTAATATCGCTCTAAATTAGTCGAATTAAGTCAAAATGAGTTGAAATTTGTGTCATGATGCTTACAAACATACACTCATTCATTTACAACCTCCAAAACATGGAAAAACACATATTTTGAATAAAAGTCATTATTCTCGCCCATGGGCCAAACTGTTTTTCGCCCATGGGCGAGATTTTTTAATATCGCTCTAAGTTAGTCGAATTAAGTCAATATGAGTTGAATTTTGTTTCATGATACTTATAAACATACATTCATTCATTTGCAACTTCCAAAACATGGAAAAACATATATTTTGAGTAAAAGTCAATATTCTCGCCCATGGGCCAAAATGTGTTTCGCCCATGGGCGAGACTTTTTAATATCGCTCTAAATTAGTCGAATTAAGTCAAAATGAGTTGAAATTTGTGTCATGATGCTTACAAACATACACTCATTCATTTACAACCTCCAAAACATGGAAAAACACATATTTTGAATAAAAGTCATTATTCTCGCCCATGGGCCAAAATGTGTTTCGCCCATGGGCGAGATTTTTTAATATCGCTCTAAGTTAGTCGAATTAAGTCAATATGAGTTGAACTTTGTTTCATGATACTTATAAACATACATTCATTCCTTTACAACTTCCAAAACATGGAAAAACATATATTTTGAGTAAAAGTCAATATTCTCGCCCATGGGCCAAAATGTTTTTCGCCCATGGGCGAGATTTTTTAATATCGCTCTAAGTTAGTCGAATTAAGTCAATATGAGTTGAATTTTGTTTCATGATACTTATAAACATACATTCATTCATTTGCAACTTCCAAAACATGGAAAAACATATATTTTGAGTAAAGTCAATATTCTCGCCCATGGGCCAAATGTTTTTCGCCCATGGGCGAGATTTTTAATATCGCTCTAAATTAGTCGAATTAAGTCAAAATGAGTTGAAATTTGTGTCATGATGCTTACAAACATACACTCATTCATTTACAACCTCCAAAACATGGAAAACACATATTTTGAGTAAAGTCAATATTCTCGCCCATGGGCCAAAATGTTTTTCGCCCATGGGCGAGATTTTTAATATCGCTCTAAATTAGTCGAATTAAGTCAAAATGAGTTGAAATTTGTTTCATGATGCTTACAAACATACACTCATTCATTTACAACCTCCAAAACATGAATTCTGATCGAAATTAAACATTCTCGCCCATGGGCCGGCCCATGGGCCTTGTTCGCCCATGGGCCTGCCCATGGGCGAGCGAGTTTAAATTTAAAGTTTTCGAAAGAATTTTTTTTCATTTTTTCATCCTTGGCATATATTCATAACAACTGCATGTTTAATTAGGTCAAATCCCTTGTCAGAAAGTGCCCACAGTGCGGAGAGTTTCTGGACTTTTGTGAGTCCAGAATTAAATTGTGACGTGTTAAATTCTTCACTTTGATAGGAACCTCCTTCACAAATGCCACCTGTTTCTGAGCAAAGCATACTGAATAGTAGGCCCTTTCCTTCGGAGTCTTAGATTTCATCTCCTCAAAGGCATTACAAGGCTGCTTAGCTGAAATTTACAATCATGAACAAACCTGTGACATTTCATTAAAATGCCATTTAGAGTGATTATAGCGTTTGTTATAAAACAGGAATATTTGTTACCTGAAAGTAATCGAGAGTAAACACGAACCTGCAAACACATAACGTCGGTGCTAAAAATACACAGTTTCAACGTCGAAAACCAATATTTTGGTAAAACATGTAGAAAACTTATTGCTCTGTACTTTCGTGGTTAATTCCTGATGCCCCCCTCATTCATCTATTCGACTACATAGAAACATACAGAAATACCTTCAAGGATGTTGAAGGCTGGTAGAATGTCAACATCGTGGACATGGCTGGATTTCGCACAGCCCAGTTGGTACTGAATAAAATGAGGTGTATCCCGGATGTACTTCAGAGAGCCAGCAAATGTTCTCCACTGAGTATCAAGCGTCTCCTTCAGAGTGGCAAGTATGTACTTCATTCTGGCTTGGAGATGTTGAACTGAACTGACATCGTTGATGAACACGACCAGATCGACGTCAGACTTCCCTAGAACATTTGTGCTCTTTCCGAGTGATCCACTCTGTGAAGAACGATTCCATTTCGTGTAAAAGATAAGCCTCGGTGCATCAACAGGTAACATACAAGCGATAAAACGCCGGAACATATGGTACAAGTCAAACGAAAGAACGAGACTTAAGTACATTGTAGATGGGCTGTTAAGTTCAAGTGAAAGAGTTGCCCAAGTTCACTTAACGTGTGTCAATAATATGTTGTTACTTTTGTTGTTATTTATATGTATACTGAACACCAAAGGAAACGCAAGTTTCGAAAAAAAAGAAATTTCATGAAGCTAAGCGTTCATGTTTATGGAACGTTCATGGTAAAGTGACGTAATGATCCCAGATGAGATGATGTCATGCAACTTGACGTCCATACGAACCATTCGCACAAACACACCAGCAGTGCAGCAAAACCATAATGTTAGCACGCATTGAAAGCATGCATTTCACTCTGAGGTATTCTTTATAAAGGTTTGTGTCAAAAAACAGTTCAGTATTGACGTTAGGGGGTGTACACGCCACACAAACGATGCCTAGACTAACGACTGAGCAGAGGGGAGTGGCCCTTGGAAAATTGCACGGAGGTAGCTCTGCAACCGCTGTAGCTAGGCAATTGGGCTGTCATCTTACCACATTACACGACTTGCTCAACGTCATCAGCAAACCGGGGTTGCTGCCGATCGTCCCCGTACCGGACGGCAACGAGTGACAACTCATACGCAAGATCGGTTCATCCGGGTCACTCATCTAAAGAACCGAACTCAAGTAACAGCAGCCTTAGTTCTTGGGTCAAGTGGAGCATTGTCCAGCGATACGATTAGGCGTCGTCTTCTGGCTGCTGGAATCCACTGCCGACGGCCATATGTGGGGCCAGTTTTGACACGTCAACAACGCCAGCAGCCCTCACATAGCAAGGGTGTTGATGGATCATCTGGCTCAGAACAACGTTAACATTTTTCCATGGCCGTCTCTTTGAATATTATGGGACGATTATGGGACGAAATTGGACGGAGGATTGGAGCAGGTAGACAGCCACTCACACTTGCACAATTGGATTACAGATTGGTGTTTGAGCGGAACCAGTTGCCCCAGGCAGTCTTTCAGAGTCTAGTGAACTCATTGAGGCCACGTTGCACGGCCTGTGTGCAAGGTCAAGGTGGCTATACGCGCTACTAAAGAGACTGTCACTTTTCGCGTTCAGGGGTATCTCCATTTGACGGACTGTGATCAATTTGAACTTATTGCAATTCAATGTCAACAGCAACTTTCAACTGTTAAATTGACAGTGTTTTCTATAGAATAAATGATTAGACATGATTTTGGTTGTCTTCTATTAAAAAAACTTGACAAAAGCCAGACTTACGTTACTTTTGCTGTTCAGTATATTTTAGTGAATATATTACCAATACACTATTGTTTTTGCACATATATTAGTGTATGTAGGAATATTTTTATAAATACTGGAACATAATGTTCGAGTCAAAATAATGAATGACAACAGACAAGCGGGTTAGTTTGTTTATGTCAGCGGTCTTAAATAACTGTTCCGACCAGACAATACAGTTCGTATCGACCTATGCCACTGGGATACAATGACATGCATCAACTGTTTCCATAAGTCTCAGCATCTCATCCCCCTACGGATTTCTCACAGCACGGATGGGCTGCTGAAGACCAATCCAACAATCATCTTCGTGGGAACACACCGGTAGAACATCGCTTACCTTAACCACCATGGAGACGCTGAAGTTTGTTTTATGCTGCAGGAAGTTGGTGACACGTTCCACAAGATGGTCGCACTCCCGGCGGTCGTCACTGCTGGGTTGTATAGTGTGCTGGATAAAGTGTTGCAGTGTCTCGCCCCTCGCCATTCCTTCAATGATGGGGGCAGGGCCACCACCTATGTAGTCCTTGAGGGCTTGGCTGCGAATCACCACTGCTCTGGCACATCTCATTATCCTTTCACAGCAACGTTGATCGGGGACGACGTTCTTGTGAGGGTTTGCAGGGTCCAAAACAACTGGTGTAGATCTAGGAAACAAGAAGATTTTTCAGAAATATAAGATCTTTAGGCCTCGGTTGCTTTCAAGACACCTTTTATCAGTTACCAACATTGGTAAAAATGTGTCTTATGTATCGTATGTTCAACGTGAGCCTCCTTCCATGGATTATGAGAAGAGTTACTGCAAAAAATCACAAAGAAATCAATTATCACACGTATATGTTTACAAATAATCAAGCGCGTCTTGCGAAATACATAGATTGGGTGATCCACTGCTTTCGTTTTAATGTAGATTAGTCGAGACACCCGGATTAATCGAGACACCGGGCTTCCGTGTTATGGTATTTTGTACATTACGGGATCAACTACTGACTTCTCTAGAGGCAATCACGAAACGACAAACATAACGAATACGTATTAGAGAATGAGTATATTCCGGTTTCAGCATCTCACAGTGTGGGACACCTCATATAGTGTGGGACACTTCAACACTGGTGTCCATGTAGGAAATCGAGTCCGGGTATTCTTCGCAACGGGCGAACCCTGGAACCCTGCGCTACACACTGACCCAATAGAAATGGAATGTGAGTGTACGTACGGCACGGTCCTATAGTTGCTTGCGGTATATTTGTCTTCCCATGTGATGCTAAGAGATGTAAGGTCGGCCAGCTGGGTCATAATTTCTTCAAACCAGTCTGATATGTCGAAGTCATTTGGCTTTCCTGCTCGCTTCCATCTATAAGTATTGTATGCACAATGAAAAAAGTCATCAATTCAAATGTTGATATTGACAAAAAAACATTTCAAAGCACAGTGTTGATTAAAATAATACTTATGAACAGTTTGAGTCAACATGGCCTGTATGTGATGGTATGAGATTTTCTTATACACTGTACGTTTTAACATGTGTTTGAGACTTACAATGCCGGATATGCCTTGTTTAAGCCATTGCGAATTTTCCTTTTCATACACAGGTGAGGTCTAAAGGGATTCAACGGTATTGCATTTACAAGGCGAAGTACATACAAGTATAAATGCTCATGCCTTTTTATTGTTCTAGTGATGCAGTTGTATCGTGCTCGTCCTTATGTCGGTTTAACAGTACTGAGCTTTATCCCTTTATAAAATGTGCTAGTCTTTATGACTATTTTTAAAGACAATACAAGGGAGATAACTTTCCAGTTGTAAATAGTTCCTTGTGCCTGCTGCTGCTGCAGCTAGTGGTGTTCACATTTGTTAACATTTATGAGAAAGAACTTTACCAAGATTTCAAACAGCGACTTTTGCTTTACTTGATCAAGGTCACAACATTCAAGTGATCTTTGAAAACGTGTGGAAAACACTTCCAAATTCGAATCAACAGTGGCAAAGTTGACGGCCGGTGATATTACCTGTTTTGATTTGTCATATAGTTCAATTATTTTTAGATAGATAATTGACATGCATGTGCGTGTGTTTGTGACGAGAGCTACTAGTGGAACAAAATCGCTCACAGGCTCATGATAATAGTCAGTCGGAATGGTATGGCTTTCGTTCTATGGTCTCTCTGTGTGTGGTGTGACGTGTTGTAGCGGCTGGTTTTAGGCGATTGACGGTGTGTGGTTGGTGTGCAAGATTGTGAGACCTGGCTGGGTGCTGTTTTTATTTGTGACAGTCTGTGTCCGTGATTGCAGTGCAGACAATATATATACAGATTGTTTGCTCCCTGCATTTCGGTAATATTTCTTACAAGTTAAAGTAATATCAAATGTCATCTCTTCGATCAAGCATATTTCCTGTCGACGTTCGAGATACTTACAGTTTAGATAAATGAACTTACACACCTGTGCATCGCCATGACCTCTAGGAAATAGTAGCAGTCTTCCGTTTCTACTTCCTTCTATAACAATGGCATACACGCATGGTTACCACTTACAGTCATGTATAATGTCACTATAAAAATAATGTCCACAAACCCAAAGAACTTCCCTAATTTGAGAAATCGGTTTGGAGACCATGAATATTATTTAGCTGGTACAATATTTATCCACAGATGGGTCGTCATGACAAACATTATATTTACCTTCACCAAATGAAAAGACAATATTTCCTAAAACACGATACATTTGTTGCAATACCAACGTTTGACTATATTACCTTCAGCCAATACTTGAGGATTCTAATGAGGGAGTGAACTTTGCTCGGCGCCTGTCTGATGTAGTCTATCTGTATCTCTGCCAGACACACTGCGTAGAAGTCTTTGACGGCATCGGGGAGGCCTCTCATGTCCATGTACACGTCGTGCTCGTTCTTGTCTGGAAGAACATGGTCAAGATGTACACGACAAATCTTTCCTAGTGAAGGAGGTTTATAACCTTATTTCTTTTTGAATGGTACAGGGAATTACATGTTTACAGACACAATCATATGAATAATTTGAGATACATGTACATGTATTTTTGACATATTGTATATAATATATGTGATAATAGTTTCATTTCGACATTGAACGAACATCGAATGAAAAACATTAGGTTGTTTCTTTTCATGTGAAGGAGTTTCTACATGGCGACCAAGAACTGTAAAATAATTAAATCATCATATGAAGAGTTTATGACATGAAGACAAAAAAGACCAAAACCTCGCGTATTGACGTCTTGAGCATGCTGCACATTTATTTACCTGATATACGATATTTAGAAGGCGCTTTAGTCCGTTTATGGTAGGGATAGATTTTAATCATGTGGTTGCATACATGAACTTTTTTGTGGAGATTAATATTAGGAGATCTTAGCAAACACACATTTCATGGTTAATCGAAAATGTTAGTACACGAACAAGAAGACGTATGGTGAAATATTGCTACTAAGTTTTAATTTTAAATTAACTTCTTTTATATCGAATCATAACATTACCTATTTTTTAATAAGTGAGGAAATACTTTTATATATCAAGATGTACATATATACATGTACACGGAGGTTTTACCCATTAGGTGTGCGTCTGTGAAGTTTCTATTTAGACAAGAATTGATATTTGTACAAATGTTCCTAAAACCTCAGAAGTATTCTACACATGCCTGCACTAAGGCTGAAATACAAATATACTAATACGTAGATATCATCATGGAATACGGAAGAATGACCAGAAGAAATACCATACATGATATATTGAATTTGCCTGTCCACGTGTTAGAATATAAACTGTCGGCTTAAATATCATATATGCGTGCTATTTCACAAGACAAGTTAGATATGCCCTAATCATGTAAGACCACACACGATGACAAAGAAGTTTTGGCCTCGAACACAGAATTTGAGAAAAGCAAATGTTCCGATGAATAAACGCATACATTTATACGTACATTTCAAGATGTCGTATGCAGGGAATACCTCAATGGTGTGTTGTTGGTCCAGATCATGACACGCCAGGCGGAACTTCATCGAGTGAGGTGTATATTCAATGAACTGAATGACCCCAACAAATGCAGAAGAATCCAGCTTGGCTCTTATACTTTCAACGATGCGTCTAGTTTTTGATTTCATGTCCTGAATGGAACTGAGGTCATTGATGAACAAGAACAGATCCACATGTTCCTCATTAAATGTAAATGTGTTCTTGCCAATGGGTCCTCCCTGAAAATACATAGCACATCATGTGACACTATTTCCATTGCGAAAGGGCTTGTAAACTATACAAGACAACACTAAAATACTACCCGGTAGTGACATGGTAAGAATTCCATCTGCTTGTCAGACTGACTAGGCCTAAGAGGATATTTAGGATCACCTCTGATTTGAGCACTGTATTGACAGCCCACATGTACGTGTCAGACAGTATGCTGTGTCAGAATACGTGTCAGAAGTTTGCCCCATAAACTTCATTAGCAGAGCACATCTCAAGATCAATGATATCATGTCATATATACTACGTCCCATCAAAAGTTTAGACTCACTAAAAGCATCCGCTATATGTTATGCACATATATAATTATTAAAAATATAGTTACATCGAAGATGAATTTCTCCACTAACTTGGGGGAACCAACTGCAAACTTGATGCAGATGAACTGCACGAGGACCATGGTGAAAAGCATGTGCAAATATCGTGCATGTGAACCGTGACGGACGCGGGGACTGGGCTACTGTCCACTTTGGCAGAATTTCTTCAACCTGATCAGTGGGACATTAGGAAGGGTGGATGCTCATCAGATGCCATTTATTGAAAATATCCCCGGTAGTTATTGTCTGATTGTAATAAGGCATCCCAGCAGTGTAGGCTTTTCAGATTTTCAAATGTTTGAATGGTATAGTGATTGATCCAATTTGATCCTATTTCTGTGTTTTTTACCTCGATATTTAATCATGTAAAAATATGTCTATGATATCAAAAACACACATTTGATATACTTGAATCCATAAACTAAACAACCCCACTTTGCCAAGTTTTACTTATGTACATAGGAATATACAGTTTTTAACTAAGTACACAGCAAATGCTTATATATATTTCTTATGTAACAATGAAGATCCGTTCGTATCCTCAAAACAGTGTCGGCCCATAAGTTGTGTTTTTCAGGCAATCAAACTTTCATGCAATGCAGCGATTACTACTCTCTTGCTGTAACCCTTGTTTGGTGGTAAATCTACACATGTTATTTGTCATCCTTCACTTGATGGTCAGTTAATGAATTTATAACAAGTATAATTAGTGATAACACCACTCAGATTACCCAACAAAGGTTTCCATTTGGCATTTCTTGTGTCTGGAGTAAATATTCATCTGATGTGGCAAATGTATTACATCTTATTTAATATCCGCATGGAAGTGTAGTAAGAGGAATTATCAGCTGAGTTACAAAACAAACATCGATCAAAGGATTAACTGATAACACGCTGATTGATTCAATGTTTTTATCCTGCACAGCGGATTTGTCAAAAGGTAGTGTTTATGTATGTAGATTTACTAATCTATACTGAATACATCCTGTCGTAATGTCTCTGTGTAAAAACAACGTCCCTACCTTCAAAGGATTAACCGCCAATACATTGATTGCTCATTATTGGCTAACTAAAATACTTTGTTAAAGAATGGCGGACATCATGCAATGTGTTGCCAGGTGTGCTATCTTGGGTGACCAATGGGACTATACACCAATGTGAAAAACCTGAAACCATAGATCACTTTTTCGCATATAAGACTGTTAAAAGACACATGACATGGAACAGGATACTTTGCCAGCTGCAGATGAATGGCATCTCATTCCTTTATGTGGATGTTGATGGATACATTCCCCGAACAAGGTAATTGCCTGATATTGTTGCTATAACTTTAGTCTGTTTTAATTTTAATAGATGCATTTTGTTTTTTATTTACACAGTACCAAAAACCGGATAGAAAACCATTGAAATAAACGTAAATACAGTAGGAAATACATGCCATGACCGGATTTACGTATGTTTTCAGATATTTCCTAACTTCGGGCATATATTTCATATGAATCTATACCTTTTACATATGCTCATCGTACATTTTCGTATGCACAAGCACCTCGTTCATCTATGCCCTGACCGGATTGTCAGGGATTTCCAAATATGAATTGCAAAACAGATACCCCGGTAAATACATGATCATACAGTATTTCCAATGCATTCCTTTGAATTTCAATGGGTGCTGAAATTTCCGATTTCGTTCTAAGTTTTCTCGGGTTGGAAACATGTGAATTTACTTAGGTGGGGAAACACATGTAAATTTTCAAATTTGCAAATGTTTACACACCTTAGATATTTATGTATCATACCGGATTTCAGGGGTATATATATGAACGGTTCATACACCATCATGTTACCTGTACTCAAGCAAGATGATCATATGTTTCCATCATATGAATTACTTGGCTCTTGTAATTTCATTTTCACACATTTTAGTACGTTTGAAATCAACGTTCACATGACCTCAATATTCTTATCACCAAAGAGCCTGACAAAGAAAGCGGTATTACGCAAGCTAACACGCCTTATTAAGCTGCACTCGCTGTTGCTACCAGTATCAGTTACGCCTTGTCTGTGGTGTTGGCAAATCTTGTGAGGTGCATGTTTCGAGGGATTGAAAGGTTCAGTGGTGAACAAAGGGCGATGCGTTGCCCCTTTGTCCTCGCAAGTGTCCCTAGCTGCCCCAAAAGAATAGCACTTTGTCTCTCTTGGAGCACAGCCAAATATGCTACACGAACCAACTCGTAATTTCTTAAGTCTTTTCAGCTCGCGCATCTACTGTAAAATATTTCGTGGCCGTACATAATTGGAATATTATTGCACTGCATGTGCCTGAACCATGTTATTTCTCCATTCGCTCAGCCTTTGCTGTAATAACGCCATACATAAACTTTAAAGTTTGTTTCACTAACGCAAAAGTATACAATAAGAAACAATGTCATATCAAATTATATATTCTGTGAGACATGAAATGAAAAATTAATTTTATCGAGTAGCGATTATGACCGGATAGCACGGGCGGGTGCGTTCTCTGAGTATATCATAGGCATGTTGGATCTCCGTGCCTTTTGTGAAATTCGTCTATATTGTCCTGTTTAAATTGACGATCCATAACTCAGATTGCGAGTAAATATCACGTAAGTAATTGTGATGTCGCATTGCTGTAAATTTCCCTGTCCAAGAAGTCATTCTCTTGTTTGGAGAAGATCTATGGCTATTACGCCCCAGTGTTGCTAAACATCTTATAGGCCTTTAGTCTGACACAGACGCGGACATCGCATGTTCAAGTTCTGATCTGACAGGGGCTGAAAATATCATTCCGACATGAATACAATATCTCAGTGTTTTCCTGAGTAAGTGGAGATCTTTCTACAACATTGGAAGTAACTGTATCGTTGTCCTTCTGATATTCCCCCGAACGAAAGCTCTACCCATTTAGGGTACAATGTGTAAGTTACAGAATTGTAGGGAATAGTCTTAAGACTTTTCTACTTTGACCAGGATTCTTCGAACTTGCAACAGTCGTTTGAGAAGATTAAAAGAGAAAAGGGTAGTGCGCGATGTATATGACGGACGTATATGGAGAACGTTCGAAGAACTTTATAAATACAATAATAGAAATACCGGTTATGTTTAAAACGTACCTTCAGTCTGATAGCCAGAGGGATTATTGTGAAAGATCGCAGTATGTATCATCATAAACGGGCCAAGATAAAAGTACATGTCATTCATCCCCACATTATATCCCACGGGACATCGTTGTTACAGGTAGGGCAAACACTTTCTTCTAAAGGTATCTGCCGGTTTCACGGTACATACATGTGTTCAGATTATCGGGAAAACTAGCGCAAGTTCTCCTCCATCACACCAGAGACCACATAATCTATCATATGGCCTTTGATCACACATATAATTGTATAAATACCCAGTGTTTATTGATAGCGATGAAGCAACTTATCAAAATTTAAGGCCGACAGTATCATCTGCATTACTCTCTTAGATAAGGTGAAATATCACAGGGTTGTCATGGTAACGATAATTTGGCATACTATTTATTGGGTTATTCTTTAATTTGCGATTAGAATTTAAATCAGTTTTGACATGAGCATGTTAAGAAAAACAGAAGCTGTAAAACACAATGTATTGTGATCGAACCTATAGGCCTTTGTAAAAAAACGAGTTGTAAAACGAGTTTCAAGCCACCTACATAAAAACCTGTTTTCATGATAAATATGTGCTAATCAGTGGCACGATTCCAACCATATCATGGGCATATTTTTGTGAATCATAATCAAACAGTGATGTTACAAGGCGTCCATGCCGCGTCAACAACACATATGCAAACAGGGGCGTAGCTACCATTATACTAGCTCGAGCTTACACATGATCTTTCCTAAAAAATATTTTTTCTTCTAATTTTTGCCAAAAATACGTACAAACACGTTCCATTTAAAAAGTGGAAATCCCTCTACGAATCGTACTGACTACAGTATTCTTTGATTAAAGCATTACCATGTACAGTAAACAGGTTATTCTTCATATCATAACTTTCAGTGATGATTGTGTTTCCATCGACATGTATGAGGATGTTTTGTTACAGTCATGATTATATGTGAATCATCACTGAAATGCAGTTGTTTATTTTTCATTTGCTTATCATTTATTTTAGAAAAAACACCAAATACTCGATGTATGGTATTGTATCAGTGCAGCAGACATGTGTAAACGATGTCCAAACATATTTGTATATGAGGAAATCACATTTCAATTTCCATGGTGGTAAGACATCCGTCCGTATCCACCCTGCCCTCCCTAAATTTTAATGAGGAGGAACACTTTCTTTGAGTGGGATTTTTAGAAGTAGAATTCGTCTTTCAGTATGTTCAAATACAATTAACAAAACACGTTAAAACTCGTCCTTAGCAGATGAGGAATATATATTCAGGTGATATGATTTGACTAGAATGAAATTTAAGAGGGGATACAGGCGGAAGTTTTCCACAATATTTTGAAGCTATTAAAACCATCAAACGTCAAACGATAACTCTTCAGGTCTCATAAAAGATGAAAGTTGGGCAAGCCCTCAATACCACCTAAATATAAGGCTTTGCAGCCCATAGGGCTTACACGAAAAAAATGGCTTG